GGGGGGGGGGGGGCAACCTGATGTGTTATCATAGCAAAGGGCAAACTACTGTTTGTTCTCCTATGCATGCACAAGGTGAGAAAACCTTATATATTCTCACCATAAGGGAAGATAACCTTCTGTAGTTTAATAGCAATAAGAAGCATTTTTTTTAAATTTTCATAGCAAAGTGAAGTAGATTCTAAATTTCTAATAGCACCAGAAGACAAACTATGGTTCTGTGTTCCTACAGCAAAAGGATACCACCTGTTTTTGATATAGTTTTTTAAACAAATGGGACAACCCTTTGTATGGGAACTTTTATGTGATGCTCCTACTTTATTCTGATTGTAACTGAAAACCTTCCGAATATGAACCCTCAGGAGATACTCTTGGTACGATTTTCTTAAATGGCCCTGTCTGACAGATTGCTTACTCATATTACATGGTCAATACAATACTTCACCGGAAATAAATAAAAATAGCTATTATCTGTAAAACCATGTGAAAAACAGTTCTGACTTTTTTTTTTTTTTTTTCAAAACAAAGACATTCAAACTTTAACAGTTCACAAAAAAAATGTGACAATTGAAAAACACTCCAAACTACTTTCTACTACATATGTACATAAAAGACATTGAGCAAACTTATAACAAAACAAAATATAAACAATTAATGAAAAATTCCATTTTCCTTTTGAATGATGAAAAAGAATAAATGAAAACAAAAAAGGTATTTGTTTAAATAATTAAAAGCAAAAACAAATAAAAATGAAAAATAATCATCTTTATGATTATGAAATAAACTTTTCTTCACGTGAAAAGATTTTTTCTAAATTTCAGGACTCCATACCAAATTTGATTATACTGATACTGAAACAATAGCTAGGGTACCTTGTATCAGTCATGTGATGTGAAATGTAATACATAAAACTCGACCTGAACTTTTTTGAAATAATTTGGTACCATTTTAAAAACTGTGTTAAATGATTTTAATTATCACACAAATATACAATACATAATTGGAAGGTTACTAGATAGTAATAAAAGCAATTTCACACACATTTGTATTTGACGTGGTAATATTCTACCCTTTTTCACAGAGAATTGTACTTTTTTGTTGGGAAAACACAGAAACATTTTCATAAAATTAGGAAAATATATACATTTTCATAGAACACATTCAACAGTTATGTTTCAAGTTATTTATCAGCACTTTAAGCATTGAATACATGTATAATATGAGCACAAGATGGAAATCTGGTAAGTAAATTATTTGAAAATTATTTCCTTAAAATGCCATTTATTGTTGACCGTTCAAATTATAGTCCATCTTCTCCTGTGGAAAAGGCTTTTAAGTGGCTTTATTATCAAACAATTAAGGCAGTTTCTTCTGAATTTTTTCCATGTTTTGATAAAACCATATTACATGTAATAGAATCAATTTCGAACATGCTAAAAAACTTACAAACCAACACAACATACATAAGTCAAATATCCCAGGTAAAGATGTCACTAGAAAGTACAGGACCAACTTGTGGAATGGTCATTTTAATCAGGATTCCCATTTTGAATTTATGCTTGTTCATATTTTTGAAGATAAGTGTAAAAATATCCCTGTGTCAGTAAAGAGAGTAACTTCAGAGACATCTCCATAACATCATCAACACTGGTGATGACCCATTGAAACTCCTAATGTATCTAAAGAAATTATTAAAATCTAAACATGGTTATTTTTGACCTATAAAAACAACATTGATAGAAACATGCATAGATTTCTGTTGTTTTAGTTTCTTTTCTAAGATTTCACAGGAAAAACTTTCATCCAATTCTTGAAGATATCATACAATAAAACAGTGACATATGTTTTTGTTTAAAATGTGCTGTGAATCTGTACAAGTAATTTGTATGCTTGAATGACTTTAAAATGATAGAGTCATTTATATAGGATGTGATTTAAAGAACCAGTTAATAAAAATCTGACAGCTGAACTTCAAGCTCTTTCTGACCTTGTATTGACTTTCGAAGGTCCTACTATTTTCCTAATATCACTGTTGCACTGGCAGCCGTTGTGATGAAAAGTTAGTACTCAATATACTGTGCCAAAGTACCAATTAAAAGTTAGTACTCAATATACTGTGCCAAAGTACCAATTAAAAGTTAGTACTCAATATACTGTGCCAAAGTACCAATTAAAAGTTAGTACTCAATATACTGTGCCAAAGTACCAATTAAAAGTTAGTACTCAATATACTGTGCCAAAGTACCAATTAAAAGTTAGTACTCAATATACTGTGCCAAAGTACCAATTAAAAGTTAGTACTCAATATACTGTGCCAAAGTACCAATTAAAAGTTAGTACTCAATATACTGTGCCAAAGTACCAATTAAAAGTTAGTACTCAATATACTGTGCCAAAGTACCAATTAAAAGTTAGTACTCAATATACTGTGTTCAATATACTGTGCCAAAGTACCAATCGCTAAAAGGATGTAATCCAAGTTCACATTTTGTAAAATATCATTTGAAAGTGAAAACAAAAAACAAAAAAAACCACACGACACTGGAATTCTGTTTCCAGATCAAAGAAACGATGAGTAAAGTGAATCCTTGTACCTATATATCCTCATAAAAACAAGTCCTGGGGTTACTTCCCTTTACATATATAAATACATTCTGAAAATTGTAAGGATATTACCTTGCATATCAGAATAACTACTGTGACAAATACATGCATTGATGATATGCAAGTAATTTTGCATTTAAAAAATCTTATAGGGATATCTGCATTACATGTATTTCCAGGTAATAGTTTAAATAATTTTGAATCTCCAAACAACAGGGGGACATTCAAGTGTACTAGAGGTCTATCTTCCATGTAGCATCAAGGTGTTTCTTGAAACAACATCCTGGCATAGAAAAGATTCAGTTAACAGCATAGGAAGACAACCTTAGAAATAATTAGTGCCATACAGGATTGCTAGATTAGAGGCTGTTGACATCTTATGAGAAGGGAGGTCATTAACATTTACTGGTTCGAGAATGGTTTCCACCTGTCTGTTCCTGGTACACATCAATCACATCATCATCCTGAAGCTCAAGCTGAAAATATTGAAAAACTTAACAAATAAAAGTTATCTTAAAATGATATTTTTAATATAGTGTTTGGTCATAAATTAATATATTTCACATCCAGTTATCAAGAAATCAGAATTTCCCAAACATCACATACAGAAAACAATGTATACAGTATTTGCAAACAATGGCAGGAAAGACATACATCTATATATCATAATAGCAGAGGCAAATCCACCAAGATATTTAGTAAAGATGCAAGATTACCCATAAGGAACAATTATAAGTTCACAGTTAAACAGTAATTACTGTTATTGCCTTGTTTCAACTGAGTTTATGTATCCATGTAAACAATATATAAATATTTTAAAATGTGGTAAAATGACCCTTGCAATGTAGAAATAATTCAGAAACAAAAATTCTCAACAACACATCCTGCAGGTGGTGGATCGGGAAAAGAAAGCACCTGCTGTGACCCACTGCATGTTTAGGTGGAGGCGACTTATGTGGGAACCCCCTGCAGAATTGGGGATTTGCTTTGGTATACTCTATTTATGGACACAAAAGTGACCAAATTATATCTGCTGCACCCATTGTATTATTTGGGATCTTTATCTTTCTTTCCACTTCAGACTACCTTTTATTTCCTAGCACCTTGCTTGGTAACACCTCACTTTTGGCTTGAATGTTGAGCGTTCGCCAAGTTGAGGAAGGCAATGGGTTCTGTCCCCAGGCCGGGACATACAAAAATGATCCTTACTGACGAAGCAATAATATAAAAAGAAAAAAATCTCTACAACGTGTCTTTAATACTTTCATTGAGTCAAGGAGATTCTTCAAGATATATCAGATATATATTTGATTAGTAACAATTGTTCTGAATTTTATATCGGTCAAACGGGCGGTGAGCTACAAACAAGAATGACTGTACATAGTCATGTGCTGATGACAAATTTAAAATATTTCCTATTTATCAAATGAAACATGCTGACGTAATCAAACGTTAGGCTAAGGAAGCTGAATTCATCAGACTTCTTAGACCCCGCTTGAACAGTACTGTTTGACTATATTTTGTAATGATCTTACTTCATGTAACGTTTAAGGTATAGAGTACTTCTGTATTTGAAAGGATGTGATACACAAGTTCCGATCAGTGTTTTTTTTTGCATTTTTACATCGGTAGTGTGTTGGATTAGTAATCTGATGGTGTCGAGCTCGCTCTGTACAGAGATTTTTTATTTTTTTAAATAATAGTATTAATAGTAATTCTAAATCCTAAACAAATAGTACTCTTTGCCTTAAGACCATAAATATGTATTTCTATTGCTGCGATATCGCTATGGCGGGTACGTATATAGCGTATGTTGCTATAGCAAACTATTATGCGACGTCATAGTTTATGACGTCACAATTTCTACTTCAAATAAACAGTTTGAAGAATCTCCTTGACGAGATGAAAGTACTAAAGTCTCGTTGTTGAGAATTTTTATTTTTATATTATTTCTTCGTCCATTGGGATCATTTTTCTGCTTTTATAATATATATATATATACTTGTGCTTGAAACTGCAAATGAACAATCGTAAAGCAAAATATCACTTACGTCTTTAGCTGTTTCATGGTCACCTATCCGTTTCCCATCAAAGAAGAATCTCAGAGTGGATGCTGATATACCCTGTCAACAGAGTGGATGCTGATATACCCTGTCAACAGAGTGGATGCTGATATACCCTGTCAACAGAGTGGATGCTGATATACCCTGTCAACAGAGTGGATGCTGATATACCCTGTCAACAGAGTGGATGCTGATATACCCTGTCAACAGAGTGGATGCTGATATACCCTGTCAACAGAGTGGATGCTGATATACCCTGTCAACAGAGTGGATGCTGATATACCCTGTCAACAGAGTGGATGCTGATATACCCTGTCAACAGAGTGGATGCTGATATACCCTGTCAACAGAGTGGATGCTGATATACCCTGTCAACAGAGTGGATGCTGATATACCCTGTCAACAGAGTGGATGCTGATATACCCTGTCAACAGAGTGGATGCTGATATACCCTGTCAACAGAGTGGATGCTGATATACCCTGTCAACAGAGTGGATGCTGATATACCCTGTCAACAGAGTGGATGCTGATATACCCTGTCAACAGAGTGGATGCTGATATACCCTGTCAACAGAGTGGATGCTGATATACCCTGTCAACAGAGTGGATGCTGATATACCCTGTCAACAGAGTGGATGCTGATATACCCTGTCAACAGAGTGGATGCTGATATACCCTGTCAACAGAGTGGATGCTGATATACCCTGTCAACAGAGTGGATGCTGATATACCCTGTCAACAGAGTGGATGCTGATATACCCTGTCAACAGAGTGGATGCTGATATACCCTGTCAACAGAGTGGATGCTGATATACCCTGTCAACAGAGTGGATGCTGATATACCCTGTCAACAGAGTGGATGCTGATATACCCTGTCAACAGAGTGGATGCTGATATACCCTGTCAACAGAGTGGATGCTGATATACCCTGTCAACAGAGTGGATGCTGATATACCCTGTCAACAGAGTGGATGCTGATATACCCTGTCAACAGAGTGGATGCTGATATACCCTGTCAACAGAGTGGATGCTGATATACCCTGTCAACAGAGTGGATGCTGATATACCCTGTCAACAGAGTGGATGCTGATATACCCTGTCAACAGAGTGGATGCTGATATACCCTGTCAACAGAGTGGATGCTGATATACCCTGTCAACAGAGTGGATGCTGATATACCCTGTCAACAGAGTGGATGCTGATATACCCTGTCAACAGAGTGGATGCTGATATACCCTGTCAACAGAGTGGATGCTGATATACCCTGTCAACAGAGTGGATGCTGATATACCCTGTCAACAGAGTGGATGCTGATATACCCTGTCAACAGAGTGGATGCTGATATACCCTGTCAACAGAGTGGATGCTGATATACCCTGTCAACAGAAACATACAATGTGACAGCGGAACGAAACCAGTCAAGGTCAGGGTTGAAATAAATTTTATGGGACTTGACCATAGACTGTTATGAAAACAATACAAATGTTATAAGGACAATATTTATTTCTTTACCAAAATTTCACCTAAACTCACCCTCGATACTCGAGGGATTACACCCACTTGTGTTTGCTGTTCCCGTGGAATATGTCATGGCAAAACCATTTAAGGCTCAGTGTGCGCCAACTTGTGGTTGTGACTAGATAACTAGTTTGATCCTTTGATGTATATCGACAGAATCGTGTGGCGGCGTACCAGTAAAATTGAATTGCCTTGAAGTCGGATGTCACTCCTCTGTAATCTTGAAAGAACAGGTATCAGCCTAGCCATTGGTCAGGTTATTTCACCTGAAACCAATCAAATTGCTAACCTAATGTGCCTTCGATTTTGCCATGACATATTCTCGGGTGCAGAAATTAACGTGTATGTGAGTGTTTGAGTATGGAGAATGTGAGTGTACGAGTAACATGGAATTGAGTGTTTGAGTATCAGGGATGTGAGTGTACGAGTATCGAGGATGTGAGTGTACGAGTATCGAGGATGTGAGTGTACGAGTATCGGGGATGTGAGTGTACGAGTATCGGGAATGTGAGTGAACTAGTATCGAGGATGTGTGTGTAAGAGTATCCAGGATGTGAGTGTACGAGTATCAGGGATGTGAGTATGGAAGAGATGAGTGCACGAGTATCGAGTATGTGAGTTTAAGAGTATCGAGTATGTGAGAGATTGATTGTGGAGAATGTGAGTGTACGAGTATCATGGATGTGAGTGTACGAGTATTGGGGATGTGAGTGTACGAGTATCAGGGAAGTGAGTGTTTGAGTATCAGGGATGTGTGAGTGTACGAGTATCGAGGATGTGAGTGTATGAGTATCGGGAATGTGAGTGTACGAGTATCCAGGATGTGAGTGTACGAGTATTGGGGATGTGAGTGTACGAGTATCAGGGAAGTGAGTGTACGAGTATCGAGGATGTGAGTGAACGAGTATCAGGGAAGTGAGTGTTTGAGTATCAGGGATGTGAGTAAGGAGGATGTGAGTGTACGAGTATCGGGGATGTGAGTGTACGAGTATCGGTGATGTGAGTGATTGAGTATGGAGGATGTGAGTATACGAGTATCATGGATGTGGGTGTACGAGTATCGGGGATGTGAGTGTACGAGTATCGAGGATGTGAGTGTACGAGTATCGAGGATGTGTGTGTACGAGTATCCAGGATGTGAGTGTACGAGTATCAGGGATGTGAGTATGGAGGATGTGAGTGCATGAGTATCGAGTATGTGAGTTTAAGAGTATCGGGGATGTGAGCGATTGAGTATTGAGGATGTGAGTGTACGAGTATCATGGGTGTGAGTGTACGAGTATTGGGGATGTGAGTGTACGAGTATCGGGGATGTGAGTATGGAGGATGTGAGTGTACGAGTATCGAGGATGTGTGTGTACGAGCATCCAGGATGTGAGTGTACAAGTATCGGGGATGTGAGTGTTTGAGTATGGAGGATGTGAGTGTACGAGTATTGGGGAGGTGAGTGTTTGAGTGTCGGGGATGTGAGTGTACGAGTATCGAGGATGTGAGTGTACGAGTATCAGGGATATGAGTGTACGAGTATCGGGGATGTGAGTGTACGAGTATCGGGGATGTGAGTGTACGAGTATCAGGGATGTGAGAGTAGGAGTATTGGGAATGTGAGTGTACGAGTATCGGGGATGTGAGTGTACAAGTATCGGGAATGTGAGAGTAGGAGTTTCGGGGATGTGAGTGTACGAGTATCGGGGATGTGAGTGTAAGAGTATCGGGAATGTGAGTACGAGTATCGAGGATGTGAGAGTAGGAGTATCGGGAATGTGAGTGTACGAGTATCGGGAATGTGAGTGTACGAGTATCAGGAATGTGAGTGTACGAGTATCGGGGATGTGAGTGTACGAGTATCCGGAATGTGAGTGTACGAGAATCAGGAATGTGAGTGTAAGAGTATCGGGAATGCGAGTGTACGAGTATCGAGGATGTGAGAGTAGGAGTATCGGGGATGTGAGTGTACGAGTATCGGGGATGTGAGTGTTAGAGTATCGGAAATGTGAGTGTACGAGTATCGGGGATGTGAGAGTAGGAGTATCGAGGATGTGAGTGTAAAAGTATCGGTAATGTGAATGTACGAGTATCGGGAATGTGAGTGTTTGAGTATCGGGAATGTGAGAGTAGGAGTATCGGGGATGTGAGTGTACGAGTATCGGGGATGGGAGTGTACAAGTATCGGGGATGTGAGAGTAGGAGTATCGAGGATGTGAGTGTACGAGTATCCGGAATGTGAGTGTACGAGTATCGGGGATGTGAGAGTAGGAGTATCGGGGATGTGAGTGAAAGAGTATCAAGGATGTGAGTGTAAGAGTATCGAGGATGTGAGTGTACGAGTATCGGGAATGTGAGTGTAAGAGTATGGAGGATGTGAGTGTACGAGTATGGAGGATGTGAGTGTACGAGTATCGAGGATGTGAGTGTAAGAGTATCGAGGATGTGAGTGTAAGAGTATGGAGGATGTGAGTGTTCGAGTATGGAGGATGTGAGTGTACTAGCATTGGCGATGTGAGTGATTGAGTATGGAGGAAGTGAGTGTACGAGTATCATGGATGTGAATGTACGAGTATCGGGGATGTGAGTGTATGAGTATCAGGAAAGTGAGTGTTTGAGTATCAGGGATGTGAGTGTACGAGTATCATAGTTGTGAGTGTAGGAGTATCATGGATGTGAGTGTACGAGTATCGGGAATGTGAGTGTACGAGTATCGGGGATGTGAGTGTACGAGTATCAGGGAAGTGAGTGTTTGAGTATCAGGGATGTGAGTGTACGAGTATCGAGGATGTGAGTGAACTAGTATCAAGGATGTGTGTGTACAAGTATCCAGATTGTGAGTGTACGAGTAGTATCAGGGATGTGAGTATGGAGGATGTGAGTGCAAGAGTATCGAGTATGTGAGTTTAAGAGTATCGGGGATGTGAGCGATTGAGTATGGAGGATGTGAGTGTACGAGTATCATGGGTGTGAGTGTACGAGTATTGGGGATGTGAGAGTAGGAGTAACGGGAATGTGTGTGTACGAGTATCCAGGATGTGAGTGCAAGAGTATTGAGTATGTGAGTTTAAGAGTATCGGGGATGTGAGCGATTGAGTATGGAGGATGTGAGTGTACGAGTATCATGGGTGTGAGAGTAGGAGTATCGGGAATGTGAGTGTAAGAGTATCGGGAATGTGAGTGTACGAGTATCGGGGATGTGAGAGTAGGAGTATCGAGGATGTGAGTGTAAAAGTATCGGGAATGTGAGAGTAGGAGTATCGGGAATGTGAGAGTAGGAGTATCGGGAATGTGAGTGTAAGAGGATCGGGAATGTGAGAGTAGGAGTATCGGGGATGTGAGTGTACGAGTATCGGGGATGTGAGTGTACGAGTATCGGGAATGTGAGAGTAGGAGTATCGGGAATGTGAATGTAAGAGTATCCGAAATGTGAGTGTAAGAGTATCGAGGATGTGAGTGTAAGAGTATCGGGAATGTGAGAGTAGGAGGATCGGGGATGTGAGTGTAAGAGTATCGGGGATGTGAGAGTAGGAGTATCGGGAATGTGAGTGTAAGAGTATCCGGAATGTGAGTGAAAGAGTATCGGGAATGTGAGAGTAGGAGTATCGGGAATGTGAGTGTAAGAGTATGGAGGATGTGAGTGTAAGAGTATCGGGAATGTGAGAGTAGGAGTATCGGGAATGTGAGTGTACGAGTATCGGGGGTGTGAGTGTACGAGTATCGGGGATGTGAGGGTACGAGTATCCGGGATGTGAGTGTAAGAGTATCGGGGATGTGAGAGTAGGAGTATCGGGGATGTGAGTGTAAAAGTATCGGGAATGTGAGTGTACGAGTATCGGGGATGTGAGTGTAAGAGTATCGGGGATGTGAGTGTACGAGTATCGGGAATGTGAGTGTACGAGTATCAGGAATGTGAGTGTACGAGTATCGGGGATGTGAGAGTAGGAGTATCGAGGATGTGAGTGTAAGAGTATCGGGGATGTGAGTGTACGAGTATCCGGGATGTGAGTGTAAGAGTATCGAGGATGTGAGTGTAAGAGTATCGGGAATGTGAGTGTACGAGTATCGGGGATGTGAGTGAAAGAGTATGGAGGATGTGAGTGTACGAGTATCGGGAATGTGAGTGTAAGAGTATCGAGGATGTGAGTGTACGAGTATCAGGGATGTGAGTGAAAGAGTATCGAGGATGTGAGTGTACGAGTATCGGGAATGTGAGTGTAAGAGTATAGAGGATGTGAGTGTACGAGTATCGAGGATGTGAGTGTAAGAGTATGGAGGATGTGAGTGTACGAATATCGGGGATGTGAGTGTACGAGTATTGAGGATGTGATTGTACGAGTATTTCACTTGTAAGAATTTGGCCTAACTGGGTCTAATATTTGTCAGACAGATTCATCATTGGTAGGCAACAGACCTGTCTCTCACTGTAAGATTTCTTCACTTTAGCCATTGGTGTCGTCATCTTCACCTTAAAATGGATCTCACTACTGTCCTGTAAAAACAAGCAATCAGGATCAGGACATTTATTCTTTTCAGAACTGCTGATTTATTTATTTATTTGATGAAGTCCTAATGGTCACCAGCTGTAATGCAATGGGTGAAGCAGATTGATTTTAAAAGTTTCATTCAATATCCCACAGTAGGACAAGAGGCCAAGAGGCCTTTATCGCTCACCTGAATATTTAAGCAGTCATAGCAAAATATTCTCATTATAAATATTATATTGCACTACAAATATTTCCCTCGCAAACTTTGTCGGCTCCATCTGTTAAAACTACCAGCAAATATTATTATAAGATTCTATGCTTTTTGGTTCTTCTACAGAAGTTGTTTGACATATTTTCCCCTGTGACCTTGTGAGTAGGTCAATGTCATTTGCCTTCTCAAACTTTGTTAGCTCTATCCCAAAAAGCTACCAGCCCAATCTTATGAATCCATTCCTTTTGGTTCTTCAGAACAAATTCTTTGAAATGTTGTTGACCTCTGTGACCTTGAAAGTAGGTTGAAGTCATTTGCAAACTTTGGTGAGCTCTATCTCAGGAAGCCAAGAGCCAAATATTATAATTTCATGCTTTTCGATTATTCAGAAGAAGTCGTTTGATGTTTTTTGATATATTTGACACCTGTGACCTTTAAAGAAGCCAACAGCCAAATAGGAAGGTTCTATACCTTTCAGTTCTTCAAAAGAAGTTGTTTGAAGCGTTTGACATATTAGACCGCTGTGACCTTGAAAGTAGGTCAAGGTCAGTTTCATTCTCAAACTTTGTCAGGCTCTCCAACAGCCAAATTTGAAGATTCTATACTTTTCAGTTCTTCAGAAGAAGTTGTTTGAAGTGTTTGACACATTTGACCGCTGTGACCTTGAAAGTAGATCAGTCATTTTCATTCTCAAACTTTGTCAGGCTCCATCCCAGGAAGCCATCAGCCAAATATGAAGATTCTATACCCTTTAGTTCTTCTTCAGAAGTGTTTGACACATTTGACCCCTGTGACCTTGAAAGTAGGTCAAGGTCATTTTCGTTCCTTCATTTTTTTCTGGCTCTATCCCAGGAAGTTTTCAGTCTAATATCATGGCTCTATGCCTGAGGGACGCCGGACCATGACATATATAAGCTCACTGGCCTTTGGGGCAGGTGAGCTAAAAACACTAGATTCTGCATGTGTTTCAAATTTGTCACCTTATTTTAGAATATTGCCATTGACCAGTCAAAAAAAATATAGAAACATTTCATTGAACGCCATAATCACATCATGAACCCACCAATTTTTTAAATAAATCTGGAAACTCTAGCTAGATTTATGAAATATTTTATTGACAAATAATTTCCATTATAAATTTTAATGTGAAAAGATGTTTAGTTAACAATGAAACACAATAATGTAGAACTAATAAAAACAGTTAATAATAGCAATTGTTTTTAGATATATTGAATGTCCTGAACTTAAAGCCCCATCTAATTACCTGACCCACAACTTTCAGTCTAATGTATTCTTTCGGTGGCTCGTCTGACGATTCCGGCTTTTGATCCTATGAATAGAAAATCAATCACCTTAGTATTTTTAAAATATAATTTTTCAATCTGTGATTTTCCTAACAATTGGTCTGCAGGAGATGGTTTGGAAAAGATGCACCAATCTAAATGAACCAACTTGTCATTGATGCTAAGTAAGGTACATGTAAATATGAAGGTTAATGGCCTTCCAAAAATTGCTACCTTGTGCTCAACCGTGTCTATTTTGCAACTGTACATGTGTTATGAGTGTGTAGTTGGGGAAAACTACTAAGGACTTTTCTTCGATGTTTGATCATGATACTTTTCAAAAAATAGTGTTAGATTTCCTTATAGTGAAGAAATTAAAATGAGTTTCATGAGTTCATGTCTGATCTTATCATAGGTATCTTCTTCAGAAAAAATGAGGAGATGTATCCTATACACATAACATACTGAAAAGTGTTAGTATATCCCTTTTTCATTCGAGGCTGATACCTGAGCTTTGATAGATACTGATGCAGTGTCATCGAGTCCCAGATACTATGAACATATTTGCCACGTTTCAATAATTATAATCTCACAACAGCTGTCAATAACTGTTAGTGACGGTTGTGTAAAATACTTGTTACAAGACCGAAATATCTCAAAATTTGGAAATAAGATTAACAAATTTCGGATAAATATGTCTCCAGACAGTCCAGTAACCAACCTGTGATTCCTGCTGATCAGACATTTTTTCCTGAAGATATGACGATCACCCCATCAGTGTCATTAAAAACCGTTTCAAACCTCGAAATCTTTTAAATCTCTTTCAAGTGTCAACATAAAACCGGTATCTACTAAATCATTCCGTTAATTTCTGTCTTTAGTTAACAAAGATGATAATCTGCAACTTTTCCAAAAATGTAAATAGAAAATCGTCCCCCTAACACGTGCTTCCGGGTAAGAAGTATTCACTTCCGGGTCGACCACATCGGAAGATTCTATTTACTTGCGTTTGTGACAGTGGTGACTTTGACAGTAGCGACTATCAGAAGCTGCTTGTTCATTTCGTGAGTATAAACATTTCACTGCATTCTTCATACCAACTTGTACTCTTGTACCAACTTGACAACAATGAATTTGGTAGTAAATATTTTTATTTCGTGAAGCAACCGGGCGGTGTAGACAGAAATTTCTCCCTACTATTATTGACCACTCACGCATGAGAGATGACTTGACACGATCATACGTGTTGGGATAGGACTATCGGTTGTTAAAACTATCATGATCTCGACATACAGTCATACACGTGTACTGTTAATGTCCTCAAGAAGAATATCATAGAGTCCATGAACATTTTCTATCTGGCATGTCAGTGTATATATACAATGTAGTAGGAGACTGGCTCATAACTTGTTAAATGCAAGTTAGAAATGAGGCTATTAAAATTAAAGTGTTTTCTAATATTGTTATAATTCCTGTAGAATGCTGAGGTTTAATAAGCTTGATATTCTCTTCGTCATCCTTGTCTTATATTAAGGAGATCCAGACTAGCTCAATAATTGGTAACCAGATGGCTCAGTTAGTAGAGTACAGTTTGGTTTCTGTGTATAGAAACACGGACTTAGATAATCTAATTCCGTGGTAGAAATAATGATATATATCAGAGGTTATAGGTTCAAATCCTGGGTCGACTGGTGTATATGCCACTAATTAGCTCCTTGTCATTATAAGTGCAGAAGAAAACAGAGGTGCATGCCAAAAGAATACCAAATTTTAAAGTAATGTCTTATATCTGTGTATCTAAATTAGATTATGAGTGACCTTGACCCACTTTCAAGGTCACAGGGGTCAAATGTTGTAAAATCTTCAAACAATCCTTCTCAATAACCGAAAGGCCCAGGGTATTGAAATTGGGCATGTAGCATGCTGGGTTGAAGGACTATCAAGTGTGTTCAAATGAATGACCTTGACCCATTTTTAAGGTCACAGGGGTTTAATCTGTTAAAATCTTCAAACAACTTTTCAATAACCAAAAGGCCCAGGGTACTGATATTGGGTCTTTTGCTGCTAGGCTGAAGGACCAGAAAGTTTGTTCAAATGAATGACCTTCCTGGGTTGACTTATATTCAAGGTCACAGGGGTCAAATATATTTAAAACCTTTAAAAGAACTTCTTTTGAATAACCAAGAGGCCGAGGCTGATGATATTTGGCTAGTAGCATGCTGGGATGAAGGGCTACAAAGTTTGTTCAAATGAATGACCTTGACCAACTTTCAAGGTCAAATTGGTCAAATGTCTTAAAATCTTCAAACAAATGCTTCTCAATAACCGAAAGGTCCAGGGTAATGAAATTGGGCCTGTAGCATGCTGGGATGAAGGACTATCAAGTTTGTTCAAATGAATGACCTTGACCCACTTTCAAGGTCACATCATGATGACATGGGTCAAATATGTTAAGAACTTCAAACAACTCCTCAATAACCAAAAGGCCCAGGGTACTGATATTGGGTCTGTTGCATGTTAGGCTGAAGGACAACCAAGTTTGTTCAAATGAATGACCTTGACTTCTTTTGAATAACCAAGAGGCCTAGTGTGATGATATTTGGCTAGTAACATGCTGAGATGAAGGGCTACAAAGTGTGTTCAAATAAATGACCTTCATCTTTGTTCAAGGTCACAGGGGTAAAATATGTTTTAAACCTTTAAACAACTTCTGAATAACCAAGAGGCCTAGGATAATGCTAGTATAACATGCTGGGATGAAGGACTACCAAGTTTGTTCAAATGAATGACCTTGACATATATTCAAGGTCACAGGGGTCAAATATGTTAAAAACCTTTAAACAACTTCTTCTTAATAAGCAAAAGGCCAAGGGTGATAATATTTGGCCATTAACATGCTGGGATGATGAACTAACAAGTGAATGTCCTTCGCCCATATTAAAGGTCACAGTGGTCTATATATGTTTAAATCTTTAAATGATTTGTTCTGTAATACCAAAAGGTCCAGGGTAATGATATTTTGCCAGAAGCATGATGGGTTGGAAGACTATAAACTCTGTTCAACATAATGTCCTTGTTCGACATTCAAGGTCACAGGCGTCGTATGTTTAAATCTTTCAAAAGGTTCTTATGAATCAAACACTGATATTCTGCCTGTACAATGTAGCTGTATTTTAGTCCACTTTTAAGATTACAAGTGTGAGATTATTAAATTAGGTGAGCGATTCAGGCCCATTGGGCCTCTTGTATTGATATATCTTGTAATAAATTAATTCCCAAAACAAATTACCATGCACTCATGAAGATAATGTACTTCTGAGTCGGACATATTTTGCTTCTCTTTCAAAAAGTGTAGAACTCTTTTAGAAGAGAAGATAAAAAAATGTACCCTAAGGTAGCATCCTTATGGTAGATGACATAATATCTCTTTTAAAGGATATGCTATCTCTTCCTTGACCCAATGACCCGTGCATGGCTTCAGGTAATGAAAAAAAAAGTCACCAATGATCAATCTAGCCTTGACCACTACTTTGGAGGTCAGGAGCAAATAAACATGGAAGAGACATGATCGACAGTTTCAAGGTTTATGATATCATACATAGAGACAAAGTCGTCATTTCAAACATCAAGATAAAACCTTGAACAATGCAACAGACTTACCTTGGATTCAACTTTTGAAAGAAAAATGTTCATCACTCTAACTTTATTAATTTCGTGCTAATCTCATCATCACTAGTAGCTAATAATAATTTAAACGGAAGATTATTTTCATAAAAAATGTTTCTGATTGACACCTGGTGTTAACATTGGTGTTGAGGGAATCTGTATCAGTGTTAAGCTGTGTTTACTTTAGATAAGACTTGTCTGCATTGCTATCATACAGCTGGACATCAGACTTACCATAACATATCACATTTGACTGCCCATGCAGATTAGAGCTTGCACATCCATGAAGCATAGTCATGACTTCTAACTGAATAATTCCGGTGCACGTGTACTATAAATGTGCAGTGGGTGTCGGTTCATGAAGCTTCACCAGGCTTTACTAAAAAGATAAGAACGATACAATACAAGCTTCTGAAAGTTTTTATTTTACAAACTATCAAGGTCCTCCTCTGAAAAGATTGATCTCAACTGTATTCTTGTCCTACATGTATTAATGATATACATGGTAATATGTCAATTTATACCAGTGATTTTTAAGGTCAATTGAATAATTTCTGCTGTTTTTCCCAGGTACTTTAACAATTTATTGCCATATACAGACCCAATAGAAACAAATACTTCATTTCTTACCAAACTTTTAAAAAGAAACAATAACTTAATTAACACTAGGACTGAGAAAAAGATTTTGTTTTGCCTATCAAATCACCAGTATAACTACAAGCAGGAAGTCTTTCTTCCCGGTAGTATACAAACATTGATCGTGATTTACTACTGTTTGCCTGCAGGCATGGCCATGGTCCTGTACTCTAACGAGTTTGGATGGAGTTTGGACACTGCATGAACTGTACATGTAGGTGACCATGTACAGAATGATGGGCTGGTAGACTTTACCACCAGTGTTTGCGGTTTTCTTTGTTGACTTTTTCTTAGCTCCAATGTTTACACTGTAGATAAATTTAAAGTGTTAGATCACACAAACTGTGTGAAAATTAAAAAAAGAAACTTGAAATTTTATATCAAATTTCTAAGTCAAATCATAGAAATACTAATGTACCAGAGTATTCGGTACCTGTGAGTCTATTTCGATCAAATTTAACCCATTCATCCCTAAAGTCACATTTGAATCTTACCAAATCAAAGACTGGGTAAGTCCAGTTAAGATATGTAGGGGTGAGTGAGTTAAAAAAACAATTTCCCCAAAATAATACAATACTGATAATCGTTTGTTCTCTCCTGCACAAACCTCATTGCCACTTGATATTAAAAATGTTAAATTAACATTTCCTTTGTACAGTCTTTACCTACCAACCAGCGTTGTTTATATACAGTAACAGTAATAAGAACCATATTACACATACCTGTCATTTATGTCTGAATTATTTTCCTTTGATATTTTTGAATGAAAAATTTAAACATGATCTACGGCTCGACAAAATATTTCAAAGAAGGAGTGATGGTGAAAATGCAGTACAGGTGTGCATACATGTATGAATATTTCTAACCACAAATCCTCAAGAGCATAAAGAATACTTTTTATATATATATATATTGTAATGTACATGTATTTTGTACATGATGATTACTTGATTTAGATATATGTGATCAGAGAAGTTGAGCATTTAGCTAATAATGATATCTACATTCTATGGGTATCACATGCAAATACAAAAGTAATTATCTAGCATACCATATTCTCCGTATTTATGACTAAGCTCCCCAACCTCTTAATGATATATAAGTTCCTCTCCTATTCCACATGTTTTTTAAGTGCCCTGGTTCTTGTCACATGAGCGTTCTTCAGGATATTCCTTAAATTAAGTTTTTCCATAAATTATAATGTACTACTGGAGTGAAGTAAAACTCTTGAGCTAAGGAAATTGTCCTTAACTTTTAAGTAATACTTCCTATGGAAAACTGAAGTTCAGGAATTTCCTCAAGTTTGGAATATTCGTGAAATTGCAATTGGGGCCAAATACAGCAAATAGTGCAGGTCTTTTTTTTTCAAAATAAAAAAATATATTGTACGAAACCATTTACATGTACATAAGAAATGAAATATACCGGAATGGGACACAAAATTAGGCTTACAAGTTTTATAAATGATTCTGAAGATTGAGCTTCATTTACATAACAGTTTCAGTTTAAGGTATGGGGTACTGGACACTACTTATTTAAATTTCTTACCTCTATGCATTTTTCATTGTGTTTAGTTAAAGCTTTTTACTCACCAAAATATCATGTTGCAGAATGCAGAAGGCTTTTGTAGCGACAAGGAAGTATATTTAATGTGAAGTTTATTTGTTTAATTCATTCACCCCTGAAGATACATTTGAATCCTTCCTATTCAAAGGTTGAAATAGTTCATTATAAAACTTCAGGGGTGAATGAGTTAACCAAG